GGAACATACAGCCAGATCTTGGAAATCCACTTCTGTTCCTGAAGGTATGTGAATAGTGCCTAGAAACCTCAGTATTGCTGCTTGTTGTGCGTGATTTATAACAGCTTACGTGGAAGTATTAATATATCTTCAATATATGCTATAGCTTACATAGCCCAGTGCATTTCAGTGAGGGTATGTGGACCGATGTTAATGAAATAAGCACTTTTGAGGAACGACAGGAATTGACATCAGTTAGACGCATTTCTAAAAACGGAGTGAGAACCGCTGCAGCAGAAGAAATCAGGGTGGTGATATTGTCCATTGTTCCGTGAAATACAGGTTTTGTAGGCTAGCATAGGCTAGTGAACTGTAGGTAACTTTTTACCGACTGAACTCTCGGTAGTGGTTTCGGCTACTTAGCAGGAATAGCTTAGACATTGAAAATAGATGGCACGACGATAACCAACAAAAGTGGTTCAAACTAGTCACTATATAAATTTCTGAACGATGTCAGGAATTACCAGTACTGACAGTGTTATTATTATAACAAAAATTTAACTTGTTTTGGAAAAGGCTATGGCGTCAGAAACTCTGTCGAACAGAACAAAGCTTAAAAATTAATTTTGAATTCTGTACTTAGTCATTCTCTAAATGTGTCGATTAAGTACAAGTGTGGGAATGACATTTGACTATGTTTTGTTGGCAGCAAGAGAACGTGGTAACTTTCATTCATATTCTTTCGATGACCGTTCTCGAAAATTGAAATTATTGAGAGTGCTTGCCTCAAAACGCTCAAAACATTCTAGTACTACTTATTGGCAATAATAGTACGATAGTCAGTGAATGAAACAGATTGCAGTTTAAACACTGCAATTTTATTATTATACTTGAAAATAAACATTCTTCTGTCAAATGTTATACGGATGATTTGCTCCTCTAGCGGCGAAATTGAAAGACCACAAAAAGAAACTCCAAAATTCCGCCCAGGGCGCTTTCACAGCCGTAAAACAAGGGTCAATGGAATGGATAACAACAGGAACTGGTTGCGTCATAATGCCTAAACTTGGAGTTGTAAATGTGTTATTGATGTGTGGCGAAGGCTAGGAATGGTGATCTGTGGCTAGGAAGGTATATGTACGCAGTTGTACTCGAATTCTAATATTTACAGTTGTTTGAAGAATGGTAATGTTTGTGTAATTTATTTATTTTACAATATAATGCATGTTTATATATGTGATTATAATTTTGTCAGATTAATTTATAATATGTTTGTGACAACGATCTAAATACGTGGGTATCACGATGCATGTTTATATGTATGACTAAAAAGTATACGCCGTTTATTGTAATGTAGTGAGATTGCATTTGTTTGCTCAGACGTGGACATTTTAAGGTGGGATGCTTGTCGGAAAAAAAAACCCATGGCTATTGAGGAATCATCGCAGTATACCAAGCAGTGATGCTATCGTTTATATATGTATTTTAAGAGTTGCACGTGAAAGTATAATCCCATATGTGCTTGTCCGTAATGTTCTAGTACAAAAAACAAACTCGACTGGATGATGTTGGGTGTCATGCGTGCAATAGTAGTAAGAAGCATGTAAAATGTCACACGAACCCCATGCCTCCCCCTCATCAACACTCATACACTGACTTAAAAGTAGGACCTGTTGTGCTCAGATATGCAAATTTGTTGGAGGATTTTCATAGGTGGCTTATGTACAACGTAACAGTAGTGCCAAATAAGGTAGAGGGAGATCTTTGACCCCATGAGAGAATTCTTTAAGTCAAATTCATCAGAATAGTAAACACATCTCACCCATATTGAAAAGCAAAGCACATGACATTAAGTACAGTTAAAGGATACTGGGTGGTGCTTTGATTTCTTTATATAGAAGTGCAAAATGTTTGCACAAGTTCATAAATATTTATGCATAACAACTAGCAAGAACAGTAATAACTACAAACAGTGAATTGTGAGCAGGTAGGGTTTTGCATTTTAAGGAATGCAACAATGAAATCTGTAAATATGCATGTACCTTTTTACATCCTGAGTGTAATGTACTGATCCAGAAATATGTGAGTAAACAGTCGTGCAGAATCAAAGTGAATTCAATATGTTGAATTGGCTTTGTTTATGTGCTGTTTGTGTAATTTTTTAATCTTGGATATGAGTAGAATAATGCCTTTAAAACCCACAACATTATTTTTGTTATAGCTCTTTCAAATTGAACAACATTGAATGATATTCAGAGACAGTATATAAATTTACATAAGCCTTTAGTAACCACTGTTTAAATCAGACATGCATATTTTATTATGAATACAATTTTAAATTAATGGTATTATTTTTGGGGGCTTCGAGGTAAGCTGTGGAATATAATGAACAAAGGATTTCTTCATCACATAATTAAATTGTTCAAAGCCTGTATATTAATGCAGTAATAAGAATTGACAAGAGGACATCAGTTGGCCGTAAGGAGATACATATAAATCAAGGATTAAAGCGGGGATGTCCAGTGTCTCCAACATTATTGAAGGTACTTACTGGTGAAGTTATTATACAATGGCAAGAAGTTTAACTGACAACTTAAAAATTGGCAACAGTTTTAAATACAGTCCCATCTGCAGATGATCAGGCTATTTTCAGTGAATTGAGGACAACCGTCAGAGAGCAGCCACCAGACTTGAAAACACAAATGGCTTTAACATGAGAATTTCAACTTTGAAAACAAAAATTATGGCATTTCAGGGGAAAATCCACATAATGAAATGGCAACATGTTTCCACTCAGGAAATCACAAGAATTATTAAGTCATTAAAGACGAAGAACTCGAGTGGATACGATCAAATTTCTAATAGAATTATAAAAGTAAGCCTTCTATTTATAAATTCCCCATTATTGGTGAAGTTATTAGGCAATGGCAAGAAGTTTAACTGACAACTTAAAAATTCAATTCAATTCTTTATTATTAATGTGCCGAGTCAACAGCCGCAAGGCCAATTACAGACACAGCACAGTGCAGATGAATGAATTACATTATAGACAAACTTATTAAAAGTCAAATACAAATTACAGTTAAGTACTTGGAAGAAATAATAATGAATAGAAGTAAAAATAAACAAACAAATAAGTGATAATTATAACAGTAATAATAATTTCATTATCATTAAACTAAGTGCTATTACGAATTGAGGAATGAAACATAAATATTTAATTAAGAAATGAATAATATAGATTTTCAGAGGATAATATACGTAATTCATTTTGTTTTACTGAACATGCAAATAATAAAAATACTAACAGTTATACTATATTTAAAATTTGTTTGGGTAGAACATTCCTGGCTCCGAATACGTCAACATCCCTGCAGACAACATTAGCAGCTGCTGCACATCTAGCAGAGGGGCAATTTGTAAATAAAGAGCAAACATTGAACAGTGCAAAATCTCTGATATACCGAGCAGGAACTCGGAGACCAACAATTTCCAGGGCAGAAGGGCAGAATTTAGAGCCAAAATAAACTTGAATAAGAAAGAGAGCATCAAGGCGATGTCTCCTAGTACATAAAGTATGTAATTTTAACTCCTCAAGAGCAAGAGAATAATTGTAATGAACTTGAGGAAAGAAACGTTTAAAACAAAGGGCCGCAAACCTCTGCTGGATGCGTTCCAGCTTGTTGGCATCAGTTGACGTAATCGAATTCCAGACTACGGACTCATATTCAAGCTTAGACCTAACTAACGTAGTGTACAAGCTGAACATACAGTCTAGCGAAGAGAAATTGTAGGTAATGTTACGAACTAGACCCAATAGTTTCGCACATTGAGAGAAAATGTAATTGACCTGGTCATGGAAATATAGCTTAGCATCAATAAACACTCCCAGGTCTTTTACAGAATCGGTCCGGGCTATTGACGTTTGAAAAAGTTTATAATCATAGATAAGTAAGTTGGTTTTCCTGGTGAAGGATATAACTTTAGTTTTACTGATGTTGAGTTTCATACAGTTTGCAATGCACCAACCTTGTATAGAGTTAACGTCAGACTGTAGTAGATAGCAGTCATGAGGGGAACTAATGGCTCGGTAAATTTTGATGTCATCAGCAAAAAGCAGACACTTAGAATGGGCAACTGCATCACACATGTCATTAATAAACACATTGAAGAGAAGGGGTCCCAAGACAGATCCCTGAGGTACACCTGAGAGAACTTCAAAGGGTGAGGAAAGAACACCAGAAACACGGACCTGGGATTTCCGGTTGGATAGGTAACTGCGAAACCAGCTTACATAACCACCAGAAAGCCCAGCAGCACTTAGCTTGTGAAGAAGAAGAGAATGTGGGACAAGGTCGAATGCATTGCTCAGATCAAAATAAATGGCATCAGCTTGTCTCTGGGAGCCAACTATAGGGGAGATAAAATCAATGTAAGTCACCAAATTAGTGCTTGTGGATTTTGTTTTAGAGAAGCCGTGCTGATAAGGACTAATTTTTGATTTTAGATAATGGGAAACATGTTCATGAACAATAAATTCGAATATTTTAGAAAAATTACTGAGTAAGGATATAGGCCTATAGTTGCTAACAGAGGTGCTTTTGCCTTTCTTGAGAACAGGGACAATTGCTGCTTGCTTCCATAAGGAGGGAAAGTTATGCTGAGATAAGCTTAGATTAAAGATGTGTTTCAGAATAGGTACAAATATATCAGTACAACCCTTAATAATGAATCCAGGGATGTCATCGACTCCAACAGACTTAGATGGTCTCAGGCGCTTAATAGCTTTAATAACATCGGAATCTGAAACAGACGCTAAAGGTAAGAATTCGGAAGATGACAATAGGTTGGGGAAGACAATAGGACCAGGATTATGGTACACTGTTTGAAAATGTTTTGAAAATTCATCAGCAATGTCATGAGGTTCGATTAAATGCTTACCATCAACCTCAAGCTGGATGGAATTTGAATTTCTTTTCCTAAAGGAGGCCACATATTTCCAGAATTGCTTGGGTTGCGACTTTAAATTTTCGTCCACAGATTTCAACCATCTAAGTCTGTCAGACTTAATAGTAGACTTAACTAGCTTACGATAATAGGAAAATTTTTGGTAAAGGCAATCGGATTTCTTTTTCTTAAAACGTCTGTAAAAATAGTTCTTTTTCCTTATGTAATACTTTAAGGAACTAGAATACCAGTGCGGAAATTTCATACGAGTGTTTATGATGCCACGGGGAATTGCATGTTCCATGGCATCTTGAACAGCAGCATTGAGGCCGGCGACAGCAGAATCCACGGAGGTGGTACCATATACACAGGACCAGTCGTAAGTTGAGAGATTATTATAAAGCAGTGCATAATCCCCAGACGAAAATTTACGGTACGAATATTTATAATTTTGAATACAAGTGGCAAGGGACAAACAAATATTGATAATTAGTGGGGGGTGGTAATTGTCAGGCTTAATAAGTCCAGAGTCAACAGGAGTAATACTTATGTCGCTTAAGTTAGAAAAAATTAAATCAAGTAGATTGCTGCCGCTGACATTATCAATGCACTGATTAAGATTTAGTAGACACGTGGAAGTGTAGATCGCATCTCCCTTAAGTTTCGAGTAATAATGAGAATTGGGCAGAGCTAAACCACTTTTCCAGTCGAAACCAGGGGCATTAAAATCCCCAACCATAATTACTCGAAAATTATGGGTATCCAGATTGTTTTCTAAAAAACGAAAGTAATTAGCAATGTTTTCAGGATTAGCGTCAGGAGGAAAGTAATGATTTCCAATGAGTAAGTTGAGGCCGTCTGAAGTGGGGATTTCAACCCATACACATTCATCGCAAGATTCTAAATCGTATCTGCGTTTACAAGAGCGAATTTTGGAGGATAGGGCAGTGAGAACTCCACCACCACGTGTCTTATTTACAGACGCCCTGTCAGAACGGAAAACTGTATAGCAGTCAGGAAATAAATTATGATCGTAACACAGGTCGTTAAGCCATGTCTCAGTTAAACATATAATATTGTAGTCCGTGGAGCAGATATTGTCATAAAGTTCGACTTGTTTAGTCCTAAGACCTCTGACATTTTGGTAATATATGTCAAAACATTTTCCAGGATATTTGGGAGACCTGGCAAAACAACCTGTGTTGTTATCAGGCTTGCTAACCATTAACTATGTACAG